AAGAACTGGTGGGATCATAAAATAGAGTCACAGAAAATGATAAAATTAAACTGCTCTGGGACTTCAGAATTCAAACAGATAAGCACCTGCAACATAACACCCCGGATTTAACAATTGTCGATAAGAAAGACAAAAAAGTCTGGATAGTGGACGTGGCAGTGCCTGGAGACAGCAGAATAGACGAGAAAGAACTGGAGAAGATAACAAAATACAAAGACCTACAAATAGAAATAGAAAGACTGTGGCAAAAGCAAGCAAGGACAGTACCAATAGTAATAAGCGCCTTGGGTATAATCCCAAAACAACTGGAGCATCACTTGAACACCATTGGCATTGACAAATTCGCCATTAGTCAATTGCAAAAGGTGACCTTACTAGGAACTGCTTCCATCCTGCAGCGATATCTGTAATACCATCAAACTTCCATATCTGCCTATCCCAAGTCCTTCATAAGGACTCGATAGGTAGACAAAAATGCCAAATCCAGTCTGAACATCTGGCTGACTGTGCGATGATCATCATCATCAATAATAATAATAATAATAATAATAATAATAATAATAATAATTTATTAAAGAAGACAAGAAGAGAGCATCTTCACTGTTAAAGACAATACAGACAACTCAATAAACTGTTATTTCTCTGAGATCTCCAAGCTTCAGTAGCTCTGATATGCAGTACATAGGGGCACTTACTCCCTGTTGAAGTCTGATTCATTTATAGCAGGGTCTTCAAACTTGGCAACTTTAACACTTGTGGACTTCAACTCCCAGAATTCCTCAGCCAGTCAGGGCTGGCTGAGGAGTTCTGGGAGTTGAAGTCCACAAGTCTTAAAGTTGCCAAGTTTGAAGACCCCTGATTTATAGCTTCTTTCTTAGTAAAATTCTGGAGAGTTTATAACTAGCGGATGGGAATACAAGTAGTCTAGTTTCTGTAGCTAAGTGAAACAGTACTTAAGTTTAAGTCTTGCCCTATTTTACGACCTTTTTGCCACCGTTGTTAAGTGAATCACTATTAGTAACATGGCCATTAAGTGACTCTGGCTTTCCCATTGCTTTTGCTTGCCAGAATGTGGCAAAAGGCCATGACCTCGGGACACTGACCTCGGGATACTGCAACCGTCATACATACGAGTAAATTGCTAAGCATCCCAATCCTGATCACATGACTGTGAGGAGGTTGCAATAGTGGTCATAAAGCGTTTTTTTTCCAGTGCTGTTGTAACTTCAGTCATTAAACAAATGGGTTATAAGTCAAGAACTACCCGTAACCAACATAATGTATCAGTGAATCTTTATGGTGTGGGAAGGGTATTTAGGATGGAATGAAGAGATGCTTGAATAAGGCGGTAGGGCAGTGATGGCGAACCTTTTAGAGACCGAGTGACCAAAAACCGCCCCGCCCCCCAGCCCTCTCGCGCTCTGCCCTTGCCCCACCCACCTGCAGGGCCATTTACTGCCTCCACGGCCCGCTGCAGATCGCCCAGGCAGCCTTGCAATGCCATAGCAGCCACGCCCTCCACCCGCACCCCGCAGCAGCATCTGCACACGATGGGGCGCAAGGGCGGAATCTTGTTGCCCGGCTGCCATGTCCTTGGCTACGCTGCTCCGCATGGGCCATGCCTGGGGGAGATTCTCCTCTGGGGGGAGCTGGTGGTGAGGAGGGGCTGTGGGGGGAAGCGGGGCTGGGGCAATGGCACACATGCCCACAGAGAGGGCTCCGAGTGCCGCCTCTGGCACGTGTGCCATAAATTCTCCATCACTGCGGTAGGGCATCCATAGGAGTCAATCTGTCAAAATGGCAGGTGTGAATCCCCAATTTACTGGCCTCCCATGGGTGCCCCTGAAAAGTGAGCATACTAAGATATTAATATTTATAATGTATGGATATGTGAGCGTGACAGGAGTGTGGCTCTAGTCCTCTCCACTTTGGATTCTGTCTACCAACTACTGGTATTTCTCCATTGCTGCTACAAGAAAGCAGAAGGGACCCATCCTTGCGCTCAATGGAGAAAAGTTTTCTAATTCAGTGAATGGCGTTTTATTTAAATTAATTTTCATTAATTTATAGTATACTTCTTTTAAGAGAGGAGGAAGAAGGACAAGAGTCCATTGAATGTTTTCTCATCTTTTTAAATACACGATGTTATACTCTCTTGAGCATCATCTCTAAAAGCTGTGTGAAAGAGCTTCTGTGAAAAAGAGATTTCATCATCTGAAGATACAGAAACACAAGCTCTCACATTTTTCAAATGAGGCTTCGGACTTTTAAAATACCTTCAGTGTCACGCAAAGACAGAGATGTTAATACAAACAAGTATAGTCTCTCTGAGACACAAAAGCTTTATTCTAGTGACCTTTTTAGATGGGGAAGAAATGGAGGTAGTGACAGATTTTATCTTCTTGGGTCCAAGATCACCACAGATGGGGACTGCAGCCAAGAAATTAAAAGACGCTTGCTCCTGGGGAGGAAAGCTATGGCAAATCTAGACAGCATACTAAAAAGCAGAGACATCACCCTGCCAACAAAAGTGTGTATAGTCAAGGCCATGGTTTTCCCAGTTGCAATGTATGGCTGGGAAAGTTGGACCATAAGAAAGGCTGAGCGCAAAAAATTGAGACCTTTGAACTCTGGTGCTGGAGAAGACTCCTGCGAGTCCCCTGGACTGCAAGGCAATCAAACCGGTCAGTCCTAGAGGAGATCAACCCTGATTGCTCTTTAGAAGGCCAGATCCTGAAGTTGAAGCTCAAGTACTTTGGCCACCTAATGAGAAGGAAGGACTCCCTGGAGAACAGCCTAATGCTGGGAAAGATGGAGGGCAATAGAAGAAGGGGACGACAGAGAAGGAGGTGGCTGGATGGAGTCACTGAAGCAGGAGGCGTGAGCTTCAAGGGACTCCAGAAGATGGCAGAGGACAGGAAGGCCTGGAGGAACGTGGTCCATGGGGTCACGATGGGTCGGACACGACTTCACAACTAACGTCATGTATGTATGTATGTATGTAAGTCCCCTGGACTGCAAGGCGATCAAACCGGTCAGTCCTAGAGGAGATCAACCCCGACTACTCTTTAGAAGGCCAGATCCTGAAGTTGAAACTCAAGTACTTTGGCCACCTAATGAGAAGGAAGGACTCACTGGAGAAGAGCCTAATGCTGGGAAAGATGGAGGGCAAGAGAAGAAGGGGACGACAGAGAATGAGGTGGCTGGATGGAGTCACTGAAGCAGTAGGTGTGAACTTAAATGGAGTCCAGAAGATGGTAGAGGACAGGAAAGCCTGAAGGAATGTTGTCCATGGGGTTGCGATGGGTCGGACACGACTTCGCAACTAAAAACAACAAAATTCATTTTATTGAGGCTAATTTGGCAAAAAATGCATTGACTGAACCACAAAATATTTACATATTTATCCACCTTTAAGATCCAGTTCATATACAATACAAAAGGAATCTCTTGCAGATGCCAGGATTTTGTGCTCCTCTCTGTTAAATTTTGGCTAAGTTCATGCAAGGTATTCATCATACTAAACTATATAGTTTTGCTTAGCTGTGGTTTATTGAATAAATCACAATTTATGGTGACTCAGTCATAATAACCATAATGCCACTGTGCTAACCTAATGTGAAACATAATTGTGACTTGGCACAATAAGTGAATCAAAGGGTAACAGTATTGTGATTGGTTTGAGCTATAAAAGGGATGAACCCAGCCATTCTGTAAATAGTGTTTTATGCTTTAGATCAGTGCTTGTGTTGGTCCAAACAAGATTTCTGCTTTAACCTTCAATCAGATAAATGCCAAAGAACGGAATATTAGATGATCATTTCTTTCAACAGGAATCCCAAACAATAACTTACAGTTAAGAAGAGTTCTTCTGCTGAACATATCATGACCTTCTCCATTCTTTTGGGTGAAAGATTGAAGGTGAACTCACCCCATGCCTCTTATAGGACACATCACCTCGTGTCTTTCTTCACAAAGACCTTTTACAAACTGGCACGTAGCCAAGATATCCTGTGATGAACTTAGTAGCCCCTCCTACTGACTTGTTAACATGAGATTCACTAAATAGCTAAAACTACATTAACCATAAGCCATCTCTTAAGGAGACAGCGCTTAACCCTATAAATGCCAAACATTCTAACATACAGATCTATATATTACGTTGATCCAGGACAGTGCTTCTGAACCTTGGGTGCTTGAAGATGTGTAGACTGCAACTCCCAGAATTCCATAGCCAACCAAGCATCCAAGGTTCAGAAGCACTGTTTTAGATGATACATGAACCAGTCTATTAAATCAGTTTCACCTTCAAGTCAGGCTGTGTTTGGCATCATGTGAGGAAGGTTTGGCATTGCCTTTTTCCTGAGTGTCTTTTAATTTTGCATTTTTTCCTCCCGGCTTGGATTTTCCCCAACCAACTACTACGTAATATTGATCTGTTTAGCTTCTGAAACATCCTGGATCTCAAAAGCTACCAGCCAACAGTGCTTCTGATGTCCCAGATTTAACCTTATGTGAATTTCAGTACTTGATCCACACCTTGAGTACTGACATGATAAATGATATCTGTCTGGCATTTAGTTTTGATTATGAGTTAAATCAGGGGTCTTCAAACTTGGCCCTTTTATGACTTGTGGACTTCAACTCCCAGAATTCCTCAGCCAGGCACGCTGACTGAGGAATTCTGGGAGTTGAAGTCCACAAGTCATAAAAGGGCCAAGGTTGAAGACCCCTGAGTTAGATGTATTTCAGTTTGTACCTTTAACAAATTAAAAAGACTAGGTGTTGGGTCTCTTTTGCTTAACACCCCAGCAGTAGTTTCTGTTCCTGTTTTAGCAAATAACTGCTTGGTGAACACTTGCCTATTTCTTTCTATTAGATTGCTAAACATTTCACATTACTTTTCCTCCCTGAAAATATATTTAAATTTTCATAAACATATATCACATCACAGCTTTACTTTGGTTCAAAAGCACACTTTTAAAAAAAGAGAAACTTACATCCTTTCCATTTTTCCCCTTGGGGGGAGAAGCAGACCTTGGTGATATTGTTATTTTTAGTTTTGTTATGGAACTGGGAACAGGCGAGGAACTCTGGCCAAGAAGAATTGACCACTGCAAGGACTGGTTCACATCCTTTCTTTGCAGCCTCACAAAATGATCTACAAGGCAGAAGTCCATGACTACAAAGGAAAAGAAAATAAAAGGTTATGTGTTTTTTGATACCTACATTTGTTTTAACTTTTAAATGTGACAGAAGTATATAATTTTTAGTTTGGAGTTTCTCAACTTTGGCAACCTTAAGATACGTGGGCTTCAACTTCTATAATTCCTCAGCCACACATCTTAAAATTATTATTATTATTCCATTCCTCCCTATACGCCACCTACATAATGCTAGACCAGGGGTAGGCAACCTTGGCTCTTTTATGACTCGTGGACTTCAACTCCCAGAATTCCTGAGCCAGCATGGCTCAGCTTGGAAACTCTCCCTTTTCCCTCAGCATGGCTGGCTCAGGAATTCTGGGAGTTGAAGTCCACGAGTCATAAAAGAGCCAAGGTTGCCTACCTCTGTGCTAGGCCATTCATATATTAATGTTTAAAAAAATGCAACCAAAGACAACAATAAGGGCAACAAACGAAAGCCTGAATATAACTGCACATCAGGGAAGGATAACAAAATCCCTGTTTACCTTGGAGATAAACTGTATTAACACACTATTCAAATCAGACAATTTTGAAAAGCTAAGAAAAAAACAAAAAGATCAGAACACATCCTCCAGCAGGTAGTACCCAGGCCTCCACATTCAACCCTAAGTGTGTGTGTGTGTGTGTGTGTGTGTGTATGTATATGTGTATGTGTATGTATATATATATATATATATATATATATATATATATATATATATATATATATATATATATATATATATATATATATATTCTTCTACTGGATTTGTTTTAATGTTACAAGATGACTCCTTCTCATAATTCTGCTCAAAATGCAAGTCCACCCTGTCAGGGTTCTTATAAATTGAATTACAGGATCAAAAGGCTTCCTGAAAACTTTCTCATAGGTGTTTTTCAGCAGATGTCATGTGCCTACTGACACAGGAAACATGATTTAAACATAAAAGTCAACTATCAACTAAAAAAACACTACCTATAAATAATTGTCACTTTTGAAACTCCAGAATAAGAAGACAGAACGTAAAACAAAGATTCAATACATTATCTTGGCTTTCCTCAGTTGTGTTGTTGTAACAAGGCTTCATTGATAGCACAAATCTTCTCAGATTCAAAAAACAGGCAATAGCTTTGCTTCCCAGGAAATTATCAGTACCCCGTTGCAGATAAAGGAAAGATGAATGAATCAAACAAACTATCCTATTGATTATTGGATGTTCAGCAGGCTGCAGTTCATAATCCACATCCCCTTAAATGAGAGATGTCTCTGTAATTTAGCAGATATCTCTGTTCGTTTCTTTACTGGATACAAAGAGCAGAAATCTATTGAAAGAGGCTAAAGAACTAGGTTTCTATTCCCCACTGAGATGTTCAGTCCAATAACTTCTGGATCACCATTTAGATCACCCCAGGAAATTAGACGAATCCAGATAACTGAAGTATGGAAGTTCCTATTTCGGTAGAAATAAGTATTTATATCGAGGAATTTCTGCTAGGATTTTAAAATTTCTATTTTCCATCTCATGTTCTTTAAATATATAAGTTATGGAACTGAGTTTAATTTTAGCCTTTATCTGTATTTCAGATAAAGGCCTTTGTGTGGCCTATAATAATTTGAAATATCTCCAATATCTTTCCTGAGATTCTGGTAAAGTGTGCCTCATTTGTAGTATTCCAGTGTCACCTTGTGATCTGTCTGGAGCACTGGATTCATCAGGGAGGGGGATTTTTCATCTTTAATTTGCAAGTTGCTCTATAATGTGATCTGGGCAGCTGTGTTATTTTTTTTCCCCAACATTAAATGATGCTTTTTATATTTAAACAGTTTCTTTTGTAATAAACAGTTTGTTTTCATTATCCCTTGTGAGATTTGTTTACTAAATCTAGTTGTGTCATTCTGTTGAAAGAAAAATCAGGTCCAGTTCCAAGCTGGGATTGAGATGCTGGAAATAAAATGGAGACTGCTTAGCAAAGAAGGTTCTTGTTTATTGATGAGCAGAACCAGCAACAGCATGCAGTTCTGGGACAGCTGACAAAATGGAGTTGAGAGTGGGTGGGTTTTTATACCTTCTGACCGAGACGCTAGAGGGGGTTGTATCAATGGTGGTCAGTTAATCCTATTATGTCCTAAAGGTCATGCCTTTTCTTAGAATTTGGATGGGGGAATGCAAATTCTTAATCCCATCCGCTGTGGGGGCTGAAAGTGTTTTGTGTATGAATAGATTGGCCGAGTCTTTCTGAATATCCATTCAAAATCTCCTAACGACTGGCTTTTTTGCTTGAGGCTTTTTTCATGTAGGAAGACTGGGGCTGCTTTCTGCCTTTGTTAAGATTTTTTTTTTCTCCATTTAGGGGAAATATTCTATCCTGCCTTGGAACTTCACGGTCTCCAAAGAATCATGGTGCTACAAATTGTCCTCAATGTACGACCACAACTGAGCCCAAAATTTCTGTTGCTAAGTGAGACAGTTGTTAAGTGAGCTTTGGCCTATATTACAAACGTTCTGGCCACACCCGTTAAGAGAATCCCTGCAGTTGTTAAGTTAGTAACAGGGCTGTTAAGTGAATCTGCCTTCCCCATTGAGTTTGCTTGTAGAAGGTCGCAAAAAGGGATCACATGAACTGTCATAAATACCGGCCAGTTGCCAAGCATCCTAATTTTGATCATGTGACCATGGGGATGCTACAATGGTTGTAAGTGTGAAAAACAGTTATAAGTCACTTTTTTCAGTAACGTTGTAACTTCAGTCACTAAATGAACTGTTGTAAGTCAAGGACTATCTGTATTTCATGTATTCAGTGTCCTAATCTATAAAGCACATTATTTATCCTCAATGGTTGGAATATCCTGAATATAGGTGATGAAAATTTTAGTGATCTTGCTATTGTGGTCATGTCTGATGCCATAGCATGTATGGGGGTGAGGGAAATAGAGCAACCTAATTAGATTATTTGTTCTCAGGGATTTAAAGAATCCAATGGAATCCCAGAGGGCTTTCCTATTAGCTAAAGCTGGTGATTACATGTTCTTGATATTATTGTGGAATATCATGGAAGATTTGAGACCATCCATACATTCGTTCCTCAGAGTTCTCTTGGATTCTGTGAAGTCCAAATTCCCTCCACTCAAAGACTGGTAAAAAAAGACTGTTTTTAAAACATATCTACCACCAAGAAGAATCATATTGGATCGAGGGGTCCAGTTCACTGCCAAATTTTGGAGGGAGTTCATGAAACTGATCAGACCCACCCAGGGTCTCAGCTTAGCTTTTCATCTGACTATGAATGGAGCTGCTGAACGAGCGAATGCAATAGTAGAGCAATACCTAATATGCTATGTTAACTATCGGCAAACTAATTGAGCAGATCTCCTGCCTTTTGCTGAAGTGGTATACAACAATACTGTGCACAGCAGTACTGGACTTACTCCTTTTAAAGTATTTATAGGCAGGGAATTTGTACCTATGCCTGAATACCCTCAGGAACCCCCCTCCTCACAAACACTAATCACACTGCAAAGCGCTTGGACAAACGTCAAACATGCCTTAGCAAAAGCCACAAAAGATTCAAAAGGAGCAAGCAGTAAGAGGCGATCCCCCCCAGAAACTATTTCACATAAGAGAGAAAGTCTATCTCTCAACCAAATATTTAAGATTAAAACTGCCTTGTAAAAAGCTGGGACCTAAATTTATCGGTCCTTTCCCCATTGTAAAGATTATTAACCCTGTCACGGTTGAGCTAAAACTCCCATGACTATTGGGAAAACTATATCCAGTTTTTCATTGCAGTTTTCTGAAATCAGTTATAGAATCAACAATAAGACCAATACCTCATTACACCCATTATGAAATAAAACAAATTCTTGACTCCAGACTGTATAAAGGGAAATTACTTTCATTGGGTAGCATAATTTATAGCATAATAGAGGGGAAGGGAATGTTACATTTAGTTACATTGAATCTCTAGAGAAAAAATTAGAGTTGGTTTTTACTTTTCATTAGTCAGAACCTTGATAGTTACACAATATGGTCTTTATATTCCAACAGTCTTAAAATAGCAAAATAAGTAAACATAAAATCAGCTGTTAAAGTCCTGTGTTATTTAGTTCTGCCAGCTCCCAATGGAACAAAGGTGGTTTTTTTTTTCTTTAATTTCTTGCCAAGAGATCATTTGCACAAAACTGAAGAAATACATTACTCCATTTTGTTGCTTGCTATTCCGGCTTCAAACTCCAGAGAAATACCATCATAATATGAAAGAACGTCTCAGAAACAAGCTACCTGTTCCAAATTTTACAATACTGCTTCAAAATCTAGAGCGTGCTTCATAGAAAGTGTTTCCCAAATTGATTTTGCTTTTGAGTGAGACTAAGCTATCTGAATTAATAATTTGTTTTGCTTTGTTTAATCTCAGTTGGGCGGTCAACTGCCTTTCCATCTTTTCACAAAGATAGAAAAATGCCAGGTGACAGGGAGCAGGAATCAGCAGCTGGTGATACCCAAACATGAACATAAGGATATTGACCACTCTCAGCCGTTCTCTCAATTCAGGCAATCTGAGGGCATTCCTTCATAATGATCCTCCAAAGTTGAAGCTGATTATAGGTAGTGCTTGATTTACAACAGTTCATTTAGGGACGATTCAGTTACAATGACATTGAAAAAAGTGACTTAGGACCGTTTTTCACACTTATGATCATTGCAGAATCCCCATGATCATGCAATCAAAAATCGGTTGCTTGGCAACTGACTCATATTTATGACGGTGGCAGTGTCCTGGGGTCATACGATCACCATCTAGGACCTTCTGACAAGCAGAGTAAATTCAGAAGCCAAATTCTCTTAACAACCAAGTCACAAATTTAACAACTGCAATGATTCACGTAACAGCTGTGACAAGGTGGATTGTAAAATGGACAAAACTCACTTAACAAATGTCTCGCTTAGCAACAGAAATGTTGGGCTCAGTTGTGGTCATAAGTCATAGACTACATTCA